ATCTATAAATGTGCGCACGCACACACGTGTGTTTGTGTGTGTGTGTGTGTGTGTGTGTGTGTGTGTGATTGCCATTTGTAATTTTGTTCATTGGAGAAAATTACTTTTCTGTTTTGTACTTTTTCTTCTTAGGTTTTTGCAACTACTGTAGTCAGTCATCTGAATTAGAGACAGATCTTCCTCCATGCTTATTGTTTGTTCAGCTCTGTAGTCCATTTATATGAATGGTTTGCATTTTTATTTCATATGATTTAAAAAAAATTATTGGTAATAAATTATAAGCATCTACTACTAGTCTTTTTTCCCCCCAGTGAAACATAATTTTAACCTGGAGGAATACAGCCTCTCTCAGGGCACGTTGGAAAAGGTGAGCCAATTTTGACAATTTTGTGTGGTCTTTGTAAATTGCACGTGACAGTAACACACATTGTTCCTGTCTGTAAGACAGTCAACGACTCAATAATTCTTTTTTTTTCTTGTTTGTTTCTTATTTAGGTATTGGTAGAGCTTTCTAAGGAGCAGACGGTGGGAAATTTTGACGAAGAGGTTGATACAACCATGAGATGGAAACTCCTCTCTCATTCAGAAGACCCATGAAACCCAGTCATTCCTTGCCGATGTCCTATAAGCTTATGTTATATGTAATAATTTGCATTTTATATAATTTTTAAAAATTGTCAACATCGATATTGGGTACATTTTGTATATTTAGTTAATAAATGAATACATTGTAAAATTATTCTTCCCCTCAAATTTAGGGACAATAGAAAGTGTTAATGAAGTTATCTGAAGAACCAGGCACTGGGTTTTGAATAAATAAAACTACAAACTTGGAATTTTTTAAGCGTGACTTTTTTGAAATATGGCATTCACTAAACAACTATCTTGCTGAACTATGTGAGGAATGTAATCCACAGCTAGAGGCGCCGTGATTGCTGCACACCAGGTGATGATACACCCGGGTTCTGAGTTTGCTTTATTACCCACGGACGACCCAAGAACCTTCCTCTGAAACCTTTTCAGAAATTGTTTTAAAATCCACAGGGTTAGGAGCCCCTTAGCTCACAAAGGAACGAGCACCCACATTGGAAGCAGTTCAGACAAACCTTTTGAAAACAATGGGAAGCACCGCAGCATTTATTCAGATTTTGAAATTGTTGAGTGTGTTATGACTCTGTGAGTGCTGATTTCCCTCTTCACCTCATCAGCAGTTTTTTCTGTATTTACTGTTATTTTAAAATGATTTTTATCCTATATAAGTGTATGTACATCACACACACACACACACACACACACACACACACACACGCACATCTGTTGTACTCCCAATTAAAAAAAATTTGTGTCGGCTTTACATATTCTATTTTCGCCCTTAAGCAATAGCAATTTTATTTTGAATATTACCAGATAATTTTTTGAACACCAAGCAGTATTCTTGCTGCTTTTTTGGTTAATCTATAATAATAAAAAAAAGCATAATATGCTAATTAGACCAGACGTCTTTCTGGACGACCTTTCAGACGAAGCCAGGGCTATGAGGGCAGCCGGGGTCCCAGGTGCCTGTGGCAGCCAGAGTGAAGCCTAAGTTCTAGGTGCCAGAGGGAAGCTGGTGCTGGCAGTCAGGGGAAGGAAGGCCTACTCTTGCACGAATTTTGTGCATCAGGCCTCTAGTATGTTATATAACTTTCAAAAAATTATGTCCACCGAAGAAAATTTGTATAATGGGGTAAAGTATAGAAATTGAATAAGAAAATCACTACAATTTCTCCATACCAAAAAAAAACCCCCAAAAACACTCAGCTCTTTTCTTCTTTAATCTATATGTACTTGAAATCATAGTACATATAGATTCCTAATTAGGAATATATGCATATTTGCTGACATAACATGGAAACTGTTTTAATTTACTTTTTAACTTATAGTGAGGTTGAAGCTTCACATGTTTGCATTTTATTTTGTGTTATTTGTATTCTTTGTTCATTTTTTTGTGCTTTAATCTTTTATACATTTTATAAGCTATTTAGAGAAATACTTTATCTGTATATTTTACATATATCATAAATATATTGGAGCCTTATATTTCCAAATATATTATAAATGATCTATGGTTTATTTAGGAGCTTTAAATGAAAGTAAATTATAGTGAGAATTGAATTTAAGTAAATTATTTCAAATATTCAAGCAATAAATTCTCCTGTCTTGCTCAAATATACACAACACATAACAACCATTTTACATAACGATATAATGAAATCTTTGCTAGTATGCTTTATAAGTTATAACTTTATT